CCCACAATAGTATAGAAGAATGACAAATAGCTATAAAAAAACATCGTATAAGATTTAACAGCCCCCCAGGCCTAGATCATAAGTTGGCGACCTCCATAGTCTTACTAATAAAAATGCGAAATTTTAGATGGATGGATGTTTGCTATAGTTTGTAGCCTAAACTGCTGAACAGATCTAGATGAAATTTGACATGGATATAGAGGATAGTCGGGAAGAACACACAGGCTATTCATTTTTTTCTTTTTTAATTTCACGTGAACGGAGTCACGGGCAAAAGCTAGTTATGAAATAAAGGCACTATTTGTTCAAGGCGCTAGTCGTCGATTGTTTAAACCGATTTTAAAAGATAAATAACAAGATCGATTAGCTTACAAGTTTACTGGAGAGGCTTCACAAGTTATGCAGATTCTTGCTGATTGCCCGCAAGGTAATGACTAAGTTATGTTAAGCCTAATCGAGTAAACTAGGTCTAAATAACTTGTAGACACGATAATTAACACAAATCAATAAATATAAAAATTCTAATCTGATTTGTAGACAATTTAAACTGATTTAGTCAACTAAATTAAAAAAAAAAAAACATTTTTTAAAATATCTCCACGAAAAGAACATATTGTTTTTACTTGGGTGCTATTTTTTGATAGACTGTTAAGAAAAATGTGAAATAAAAGCATTAGCATTTTTATATCTAGCGTGACTTTGTCCTGGTAAAATTAAAAAAAATACAAAACTATGTTACTTACAGACAAATTACCTTTGTAACGGTGAAAGAATTTTTAATATAGGCATAATAGATTTTGAGTTAATTCAATATATATAAAAATATAAAAATGCAAACCTTTCCTTTTTTAAAATATTAGTATAGATATACTCGTAGATATGTACACTTCAAATAATTTAGCTTTACATTGTCGATGGTACAAAGATTGTGATTTCCATAATAGTTTGTTAACAAAAGTAATAGATCGACAATTTTTATTCTAAGACTTAAGGGATTCCCTTAGTGACGAACTAACGACAATGAGTATTAAAAAGTTGACTTCAATCGCGTAAAAGTCGATTAATAGGAAATCATACCAGCGTTTGTAAGAAATTATAACAATGAATTGTTCTAAGAAACGTACCCCGACAGCTCCGTACGTCGTGTACTGCATCACACACGTTTACACTGAATTGGGTATAAGTAACATACGAAAATCAATTGGCAATCGCATATATACATAATGATAGCGACATCATATCTTATCATATTTCAATTTTAAGTAGACATCATTACTCATATTACCTACTAGCTGTTCCAGTGCGGCTTCATCCGTATGAACTAACATAAACTGTATCGTAGTTTTACATTTGTCCAATCCTCGATTGCATATGTCAAAATTCAAATGCACAAATGACAACCATGGCAACCTTGCTCCCTTAATGTTGGTAGCTTGTATTTTATCGTCCCTTCCCCACATGAAGATTCATTTTCAATTAATTTACCTCCTAAATTAGCGTGAAAATATATAGCCTAACGCGTGACGTAAGTGTGGGGCTCTTTTATAAAAAAAAAAAAAAATATGCTGTGATTGCTGATATCCTGCGCCACAAAGCAATGTATGCTTACGCTTCATTAAATTAGTATAGAGTAGTGAAGTATAGATAGATATAAATAGATTAGGAAATCTTACTCACAAGGGGTTCGACCCATTACGTGATACGAACTCAATAAATTCGAAGATTACTTCACTACATAATGTAAAACAAAGTCGCTGTCTGTCTGTCCTTTGTATGCTTAGATCTTTAAAAGTTCGCTACGGATGTTGTAGTTTTAATAAATATAAGATGAATATATATGTATAATGTAGTAGAGAAATACTGATATTTCTAGAGGTTTCTACGATGTCATACACAAAACATTATCGTAATCAGTATTGGACCTGTGCGTGACGTACGTCGTCGGCACAGTACGCACTGATCTTCCACCTCCATTAGTCTTGATTTCTAAATTCACTCTCTTCTTATGCATAAATAAAATAAACATCATATAATTACATAAAATATAATGATTTGAGTTAAATTCTTTTGATAAAAACTCTAATATGATTTACAATAATTAATGATTTTCCAATGTAGTTTAGTATTGCGGTTAGCACCTGGGTATTCGCAATAAATTGACTACCTTTAATGCGTAACCTTACTACGTGACCCAATCTACCTTTACAATGAATCGAGATCTATGAATCATTGGGAAACTTTTCCCTTTTTCCCTTACAATCCAGGTCATATTAACCAGTACATATAACGTTATTATTACATTGAAAGAAAGGGGGGTCTTATCATCGGCTACCTTTCCCTTCCTTATTGTAGACCAAAGGACCAGGGGGAGAGGGTTGTAAAAAATAAATCTATACTTAACATAATAAAGAGGAATGATTTGTATTTTTGTATATATTGAAATAACCCATAAACTACTGGGCCCTTTTTAACCGGATTTTCACCGTTGGAAAGGTAATTTAGTGTGTGAGTAACATAAGCTATATTTTTTAATTTCACGCGGGCGAAGTCGCGAGCAACAGCTAGTACTTATAATAAAGAGGAATGATTTGTATTTTTGTATATATTGAAATAACTCAAAAACTACTGGGCCGATTTCAAAAAATCTTTCAACGTTAGAAAGGTAATTTATCTGTGTGTAACATAGGCTACTTTTTTATTACTTTTTAATTTCACGCGGACTAAGTCGCGAGCAAGTAAAAGCTATTTGGATTCCAAAAAGAATGGTTATCAATATGTGCTCCAACTTAATAATTAAAAATAAAAAAGTAGTTGACTGACATCATTAAAAATTTGGAAAATCAATTGATTTTATTTAAATATATTATAAACAATAACTGAGTTGGTTTGTGTCTATAGAAATCTTTAAAATAAGTTGCTTTTTCAGGGTTAGTTAATCTTATTATTAATACTGTAATTTATTAGTAAAAGTAAATATTATTTAAAAAAGCAAATACCTGAATACGAATTGAAGCCATCCTTCTAAACGTTTCCAAACTATTACGAATTGCTTTAGTTTGCACCATTTCACCGACACATAAATTATTAAAACTATATGTAAAAAAAGTAATTGCTTTTGTTAATATAAATCCGTCAATCCTGTTTAAACGTTTTTCAAACTGTGAACGTATTGTGTTTCAAACTGTTTATAAAATTATGTTGAGGAAAACCAATATGTTTTGTACCTTTTACGTCAGTTAACAATTCATTTATTCTGTCAAATGCAATGTATAATGATTTTTTTGGTATATACGAATTGAGTTCACATTCATTTGTACATAAATTTGATATAAATTTTGCATGAGGACTGTTGTGTACGTGATTTATCTATTTATATATTTATAATACTTCTATAATATACTATCTAACTATCTTACTAATATTATAAATGCGAAAGTTTATATGGATGGATGTTTGTTAGCGTCTGTAGCCTAAAC